TGTACTAATGAGAAACAGAATAATATATTTGACAATGACTTTTTTTTAAGATTAAATTTTAATTCTTTTTTTAAATGCATCGCAAGATATGTTTTTTATTTAATATATGCTATATTTCAGATTATTACAAAATATATATCGAATTCATTTGTACTTTAACTAGAGTATTAAAAATAGATTTAAATGTTTTCATGTAAAAAAATTTTAAATTACTAATATTACTATAAAAATTATAATATAATATTATCCTTAATTAAATGAGCAGCTATGAGATGTTTTATCAATGAGGAATAATTTTGTAAATAAGGTAGACATGTAGTTTAACACGAATAAGCATTTATATTGAGAGAAATATTGATTATATGTTTTCAAGTTTCAATATAGTTGATGTAAGTTTTTCGGAAAGTAATACAATTGTAAAAATTAGTTGTTAGAATCAAAAGTCAATTTGGTTAACAACATAAATATCAGTTTTTCTTGATTGTATTGAAAATATCTGTATAGTTGAGCATTCTTTAAAATTTATATCGAAAAAAAGTTGTTTGAATCATTTATTATTTGAGTACGAAATAAAAGATCAATAGAAATATAGTGAAGGAATTAGTAAATACTCACTTATGGAGTATTTTATCTTTCAAAAATAATATTAATGGTACTGATGCTACAGTTACTTCCTTTTGTTTTTTTTTTAGGAGCAAATATTTCAATTATTTATGGTGATCTGAGATCTCAACGATTAAAAGAACTATTTATAATTTTACATAACATTTTTACGAAAGTGTACTGTATGAAAGTTTATACATCATATAAGTTATTAAAATATATGATATGATTAACTTTAACAAATTTTCTGACCTTTCTGAAAATCCATCACTTTGATGACCTCGTGCATAATAATTTATTAAACGATGCCACATTCGTCCTGTTGTAGCGCCGACGAATGATAAATGAGATGTGATCTCCAAATGATAACTCATCGTATCTTTTGTTGTTGGAACTGTTCCAAAAAACTTACAACCAGATATTCTTTCAGCTGCACTTGTTTCTGATAAAGGAGAGTAAAAACCCATTGAAAGCAATGGTTTTTCTGCTTCATCAGTCATAATTATTACATTAGATTTAGCTAGCTTCGCCGTTAGCGAAGCAGTTGTAAATTCATCAAATATTCCAGCCTTTTCATTGGTTATTCCTAATGATTTTACGGTGTTGAGCATTGCTTTTTTTAATGGTGAAATAATTTTTGATTTTCCACAACCTAGTAGCTTATTTAGATTTATTTAATTTTTCTTTATTTTTAATACCTGATGGACCTATTAATAATAAGAAGATATTTAAATTTGTACTATGATTCGTAATTGTTACTGTCGATTCCACACAAAGATGACCGACACAAGCAAATAAAGATAAAAGCAAGCCAGTACGATCAGTGTCATTTGTTACTTTGAAATTATTTAAAAGATCAAGTAATACATTGAAAGAATCATCAAGAACATTGTTAAGATCAACATTAATATTTCGAGCCTGAGATAAATTTCTTTGCCACATACATGTCGCCAGAAATTCTTGGTTTTTATTTCCTTTATTTGACATTCTTAATAAGAATTACAAAATACATTGTAAAGATACAGCATAATAATATGAATAATTAATATACAGGTATTTATAAAAGAAAAGCGCCAAAAAATTACAATAATAATAAGAATTTTCTTTTATTTTTGCAATTTTTTAAGCTGTTTTCAGAGAGTATTTCATTAGTTAAAGATGACTTTATTTAATAGTTCCATACGTTACCAATGGTTCAACAAACTTATACAGACAGATAATAAATTTTATTAGAGTGTAAAAAAATTAATGATGATACATAAAAGTTAGTCGATTTTCATCCATGTTAATACTGTATTATTACATTCTGGATCTTTACATCGAATGCTATATTTTTTATTTTTTATGTCGACTAAAATTGCAATTGTGTTTCTTAAATGGTGTGAACCTTTGCGACTGCAAAACCGATATTCTCCTCCAATATTAAAAAAGAAAATATTCGTATTATATTGTCCACGTATGCATGATGAAATGTAACCTTGATGAAGTGGATCTGATTTAATAATATTTTCCACAAACGAAATGAAATTTTCAATGTCTTTGTCATATTGATAAATTTTTTCTTGTTTGGAAGTTTGATTCATATGCAATTGTTTTGAATTCAATATGCGTTGCGAGCTTATACTAGCTGTACTATAAATATTTGAATGGCTATTAATATCATTTAATTTTATTTCAAGACTCTCAAATAATGCTGATGAATTAAAGTCAGAGTGTGAATGGAGTTTGAATAAGTTTTCCTCGAAAAAAATTATTGGTGAATCTATCTGTTGAACATTGGTTATTATTGATTTACTAAGAATTTCATCATACGATGTATTAAGTTTATTACTGAATGGATAATGTATTGTTTGAAGAAGAGCATTGTTTTTATTTTTTTTTACACTATCGAACATTCGAAATTGTTGATTGTTTGAATAAACATTTAGATCTATTGCTAATAGTAATTTATTTTGTTTATTTAATACTAATAGATGAGCGATATCTGCCGCTGTGATGTAATTTGAAAGTATATAACATTTAGTACAATGTGTACGTAATGTGGTAATGTATGGTGTCAGTAGTGCTATTAATTCCATGATACTATATTTTTTCCAAATTACATCTATATTAAAAGACACACATTTATGTTGAGCAATCAACCACAAACAATAATGAGTAATTATTCTCATAAATAACCCAAGCGTTAAATTATTTTCAAATAAAATTGATGGATTTGCATGTATCAAATGAAATGATATTTTTTCAGACGTTGATCTATCAATAAAGTACTAATAGTTTTTTTTTAAATTACTCTAGTGAAAAATCAACATTCCTCTGCTACTATAAAAAATACTATTCGGTTTTATGAAAAATAATGTTTATTTAATGAAAATCTATTTCCGAAATATTACTATTATATAATAATAAATTTTAATTCAAATTTCTATTATTCGGAAAAAAATTCTATTACATTTAAAGCACCTTAGTACGTATATCATGTTTAGTTTAGATAACTCTTATTTTATGTTAAACTTGTCTATTTAAATTTGAAAAATATATGAAGATTGACTTTTATCTTACGCTTCAAGGACGAGAAATTCCTCTAAAGCAACTTGAATAATATTTGTTTGTTTGCCTTTATTGTTTGATCCAATATTGAAAAAGTATTGTAGTAATTTTAAACAAACTTCTGGACCGATGTTTGAATTTTGCATATGTTCATTATTATGAGTGTAATATTCAAAATCAATATAAGTCTTCACTCTTTCTTTAGATTTAATTACTTCATATATAGTACGTTCACTTGTAGCACTATGTTTATATAAAACTAATAACTCCTCTAATGTTAAGTAACAAAATTCTCGAGTATTTTTATCATTTTCGATGCTTATACAAATACTAGTATTGTTCACAGTTTTATTAGATGAATTAGAAATTAAATTGATTAATCGATATTCGATAATTTTATTTGGAAAAAGACGTTTTATTATAGTTTTTATTTGTGTCATAATAATCAATAATTGAATTCGCTGTCTTAAAATATAAACAAGAACTGAGACCCGCTAAAATTTTTACTAATTCATAACAATCAATAAAAATCTATTAAAATGAATCTATAGTTGTTGTTGACCCGAAAACCATGATGAGAGACCTTTAATATTTTTCTTCAAAAATGAAATAATTGGTGTGTAGTTTTCTTCTTTTTTGTTAAATAAAAGCTTAATGAAAGAATATGCTCATTATTTTCGATCTATAAATAAATTGATAGAAATCAATCATGATTTACGATTTTAAATTTTTGAAGATATGCTTTATTGAATTTGTTGCATCTTTAACCATTATTTTTCGTTTATTGTATTGATCAATACTTCTTATATTAAATTAGATTTTTTTCTTATGATACTTGTACTCAGTTGTCAGAATTTTAAAGATTTATTAATTCTTTTATCGTATTAGACAAGTACTAGTTTAGCATATATATGTATTCGATTCTATTATTTATTCGATATTTAATTTGATACTTTTCATTATTTTTATAATAAAAAGAAATAAATGAAATGAAAACAAACTTATTAAAATACAATAAATTAGCAATTAAATAATTAATAATTGAGTATTAGCCATTGTGCTAAGTGTACGTGATCCTATGAGAAATAAAAAATATAGCTATAATATTTTATTGTGAATCTAAGTAAAGATTTTCATTTTCATTATAAAATATTAAAAAAGTAAAATATTGACCGTACATACCATCGAACCACGAAACTTTTACATTTTTTAATTTAAGGCAAAGTCCAGCCATATTTCGAGTTACTAAGCGAGCCTACAAATGCAATATAAAGGTAATAATTTATAAGATTAAAGAATTAAATACTTGATCGTTCCATAATGATAACTTAATATGTATTCCATCTTGAACAACATGTAAATCTCTACGGGTCCATACACAATCATTAAAAGTACCTGTTGAAACACCATAATCTCGTAAAACTTGCACTTGTACATCTATATAAATCGATATGAAATATTTAGTCGTTGTTTTACTGATAAATTATATATTATTTAAATATGAAATGATATCGATTTTGAAAGATTTTTACTCATTTGAGTTGTAAAGTGATTGAAAAACATTGTATATTTGTATATTGATAAATAATATCTGTTTTCCTTATGCTGTTTTGATTTCAATAAATGTTAAGGATTTCTCAGTTCATGTACATAAAAGATCATTTTACCTCGTGTATAGAATCTATTGCTATATCTTTCGTACAATAGTTGTTATTAATAGAAAGTTAATTTTTGATTATTTAGTTACTGGTATACTTCTTTATAGAAATGGACATGTCAAATCATACATATCTCTGTAACTGTAATGAATATTAAGGTGATAAGGCATAACATTATTTTTTTCCTATCAAAAAATTCTACTCTTTTTTTTACTATCAAAATTTATAGAAAATTACTCCCTTTTCATGATAGATAATATTGACTACAACATAAATCAAAGATCACAAGAAACACATTACAAATAAAACCGATGTTAAAATTTAATCAAGATTTCATGAAAATTTTTTTATTAAATAAATTTACATAGAATTAGTCATAAATTTTAGAGTAATCTTAAGTTCATAACTGGATTTCTCAAAAACACTTGATTTGAAAAAGATTTTGACTTGTCACTGACTTAACTTGATTTAAATGTTTTTTTTATTAATGATTTGATTTGACTTGGGTAAAAAAATCCTGATTCGCCTAACTCTGCATTCTGTTTATTGGTTTATGAAACAATTAATGCAATATTTACCAACTATTGAATTTAAATCTATTGAGTTCACTTCTTTTAGATGAATTAAGTTGTAGACTGGTTGTATTGGACTAATAGTCAAATCAATTTCTTGCACACGTGTTGAGCTTGTACAAACTAATTGAAACAAGTGTGGCAATGTTTTAAATGCATTTGATGTAGTACGAATAGTTAAGTTCGTAAATTCATAAGCCTGTTATATCTCATAATTATTACTTTCTTTTTTTTCTATTGAATTACCTGATTCTTTTTTATTTTGCCACTCATCATGTGGCAATTGAGATTGAAAGCAACCATAGCTATTGATCCTGTTTCATCAGTTAGATCCCAATTAGATACTTCTCCAATACCATTTGAATTAGTAAATGTTCGTTTTGGATATTCACACGAAACAAGCGCACGTATTTTCCATCTAAATAATAAATATATACGTGCAAAAATTATATAAAAAGATCATAAAGTATTATCATAAATAAGAACACAATAGAAAAAAAATATATTCATTATATGTTGGGCAAAAATAAAAAAATATAATTCAATTTTAAAAGCAGAAATAATTCGACGTTTGTTGAAAAGGTAAAATCAGTTTTACATGTATTTTTTGAATACACTTGGTAGTGTGATAATGGGAAAACTTACGGACGTGCAATATCTGTATTAATTTGTGAAATATTGATTAAGGTTGTTTTTTCATTTAAATTAGACGTTGACCATACTATTTAAAAAAAAAATACGAATTTCTCGTTAGGATCAGGTTTCAGAAACAGTTATGGCGTGAATCTTCTTTCGCTAATTTATCAAGATAATGATTATATAAATATTACTGAGTATTTGCAATTTAAAACAAATCAATATGGTTTTTTTGTCCAAATATAGCTTAACACTGCTACATTCATAGCATAATTCAACAGTATTTGCAATGCGTTGCTATTCTTAAATAGTATACTGTTTTGTAATATAATTAATTAAGTTTGATAAATTCATAAAACGTCTACCAGTATTTTAAATAATTATTTGAAACTTACTTATTTGCGAATCATAATTAATATCATTGGTATTCGATAGGATGGAATGTCGATCAGTATGTGTTATCATATCAGTATTTCTGAAAAATAAAATTTTTATAAACTTGAATTAAATTATTTAACGTACGTTGTATTATCAACTGTAGGAGTTATTTGTTGAAGAATATCAGAAACGGTTTCATTCGTTTCCATTATTATCTACAAGATTGTGATGAATTCATTTTATTTTAAGACTAATATAGTATTTCAAAGACAAAACAAAATGATAATTGAAATATGAGTTAAGTATTCACTCGATAATGATTGACATCATGGCTTTCATAAAAATGTAGATCATTTACAAGTGAAATACTAGAGCAATATTATCCTATATGACATTGAAATTAAAATTGATAATACATTCATAGTCCAGTAAATACGAATTCAAGGCTTCATAAATAAAAAGATTCATAACTTATCTTACTAATAAACATAGTGTACATAATACTAGAGAACTTTTTACTACGGTTCCTTCTAAGATCAAGAAACCCACATATTAAAACATATTTACAACATTACAGTTAATCACTTTTTAAAATGATGAATGATAAAAATTCACAATTCAGTATATACTTAGTTATTATTTTACTGCATTCATATTCTTCTGTTTTTATATTTTATTTGATATAAAAGTTTAGTTCATGAGACTTTAACCAGTTGAAACACGTAGAAACATCAAAGAAATTTGCTCAATATCAATAAAAAAGAAAGTTTAATCATTGAAGAGCGGTTTTAAAAAAAAGTTTTACATTAAATGATATATGATGATAGAAGGAATGAAAAATAATGTCAAAAGCTTTGTAAATTTCTAGCGTACACTAGGTTGAGTAGAAAAATATTTCGAAAAAAATATTAAAAAAAGTTTTCAAATTCAACATCAATGATCAAAATGAAGAGTGGTTCTAAAGTTTATAGAAAATTTTGATTAAGAGTAATCACTAATAGATCACAAAAAAATGATAATGTTAATCTTTCGGTGATCTTTTGATAATTTAAACATATTTTTGGTATAATATTATATAAGAAATTGTTGTTAATCACGTTTACTAGTTTAAAAAGTTATTATTACGAAAATGTTTTTTTATTATATCTAAGAACTAAAGACTTAAAACGAATATTTATTACACTTGTCTAATTGACATGCTAAAGGAACTTTCTAAAACGACTTTTATTAGGGAAAATATCATCTTCTTTTAACTCTAACAAATCCAATAAATAGAGATCTATGCGAGATAATTTTAGAGAAAATAAAAGTTGAAACATAGCTACTTATTTATATTAGTTAGAGCTGTGTTATATGAATATGAACATCATTGATAATAACATTTCATATTATATTATAATTCAATAAGCCAATCTATTCTTTTTTTCTTATTAATTAAATTTGATTTTAAATACTATTAGATACGTTTTAATTCTACAACCTGAATTCATTAGTGTGTAAATTAACATTGCTTTTTTATACTTGTGAAAAATAGTTTATTTTGTTGTTTTATTCGAAATGATCATCACAGTAAAATAGTAATTCATAGAGTGGTGATTAAAAATATTTGATAACATGGTTATCTTATTATTTTGTTTTACTTCTTTACAGATTGTAGATAATAACATACAATATATGTTGAATAGATGTGAGAAGTTGAAATCTTTTTGTAATAAAATATTGTATAATCACTCTCATCATGTGAGTGAAAACTACTCTTCAATTTTATAACATCATTGATAAAAGAGATGTATGCTGTTTACCAGGATTATTTCATTCTTGCTTATGTCTAATTGTAAATTAATAAAAATTTTATAATGCATATTATTAAAAGAATTGAGTTGTCCGTTTTCGTGAAATATACGATCAAGGAAAAATACTTAATGAAATCTAGGAAAATAAAAAAAAGATTCAAATGGCGCTGAGAATTTTGATTATGTTAATCGTAGCATGATAATAAAGTATATAGAAAGTTTGCTCCAAATCATATTGCTTCATCAAACGTATAGATTTCCTATTAAAAGAAAATATTATTGAATGTAAGAGTTTGCTCTAGTTTCATGCACAGATTCATATGCAAACTTATAAAAATAGTAATGGTATAATCTCTCATTAGTAACAGAAATAAAATTTATGCTGCCTTATATGTATATTATTCTCATATACAATTTCTCTATTATTTTCACATACAATATTCTAAAGTTAAATAAAAATATCATAAAAAATGATCTTTTTTTAAACTGACCTATGGTATGCCATACTTTTCTTTGTTTTAACATAGTTTCTCTGAAAAAAAAATTGAATTTTTAAGTAAAGTAATTCTGATAATTTGCGTTTAAATCAATCATTTTAATAGTGCTAATATGCCATATAAACATAAGCCAGCCAGAAATATTATATATGCTATGGCGTTGCGCTCATTAGTAGTTTTTATGTTATACCCAAAGGATTTTAAAATCATTGAAGTTAATAGCCTTTAGATACTTTTCTTAAGAAATATATTATAAATGTGCTATTAATATAGTTTTGCTGGACATGCCTAAGTTGATAGTCATTTCTGTAAAAAAATGATTTGTGCAAAAAAAAATTCGATTCACTACTAAAACTGTCTTTTGTATTTTTAACATAAATTATTTGTTAAACCGATGTATGATTATTCATATATTATTTTTACACGATACACATTTACCACGATGACATTTACTGCAACATTTTATAGATTGTCTTTTACATGGACATCGTTTCGTGTCACATGAACCCATGCATTTACAAGAATTGATAGCTTTGAATTGTGTGAAAATTTGACATGCTTGAATAAAAGTAATATTTGGTACAGTACTATGGTCCAATTGTCGTAATTCAGCTGAAATAGTTTCAGATAAATCAATAAGATCTGTTGATGAAAATAAATCAGTTATTATTCCATCTACGGTTACTAGTTTATATAGTGTATTTAAAGATTCTTCTTTTCTTATTACTTCAATAATTTTACAAGGCAATATCGACGGAGCAGTATTTGAACGATCAACTTCGGCTATTTTCAATCCCACTATATCATTGATTTGATACACTTTTTGTCTTTTTAAGCGTTGTTGATAATTCTTTAACTGACGTTCTATTATTAATAATGACTATGTTTAAATAGCTATAACGTTTTTCAATCAGGTTATACAAAAACGTTTTGAGCAAAACAGGAAAAAATATACATAGACTTTTATTCTTTAGAACTAACCTGCTGTACGAATATAGTTTTTTTCAGCTTCATCACGAATGCGTTTATGCGAATCATGGTTACTATTGATAATATTAAAACAACATGATACAATTAAAAATTAAAACAATACAATACTTTAACTCTTTTGATTCAAATTTATTAATATCTGATGAAAGTACCAATGTTTTTGAAAAAGTAGCATCACATAAACAATCATCTTCAATGAACTTGAAAACTTAGATTAATATTCATTTCTCGTAAACATTTTACTGTTAAAGGGGAGAAAAACTTTTTTAATACTTATTTAATATTATTGATGAATCTTTTCATTGACTTTTAAACATTATTATTTATTTTATCTTAAATCATATAGTAATGAGTTCTCAATTCAAAGTGCTTTTTTATATTAGCGATTTCAAAAAGCGTTAAAATAGTGGTGTTTTTATAATAGAAATTGCATATTTACTCATTTTTTTGGCATAATGCTATAAAATATCGTGTTAATCCTATTTCGCTTTCTTTTCATTATTGTCATATATAGCAAACAAAAGATAAAATTATTATATATACTTCTTCGTTACCAAAATTTAAATCATCGATAATTGATGTTGGTAACTCTTCTTCATTAATAATTGATTTATTTTCCGTTTGTTGATGAATTTGTAACCAAAAATCATGATCACTACGTACACGTTGTCCAAATACCATTTCATATGGTGTTTTCTTTGTACTTTGAGACCTACAATTGTTTATAGCAAGCATGACAGGACCTATTAAAAATTTGAACAGGTAAGAATTTCATGTTAATTATACAGAGATGCTATAACTTATTTTTAAATACCTAAGCCACTAGGCCAATCACGAGATTCATTTGTTTCTAACCATTTACCTAACATTTTTTGAACAACAGCATTCGCCCTTTCAACAAGATCCTGACTCTGTGGATGTCTTGGGCGTCCATTAATAATTATCAAATCAGGCCAATCCAATTTAAGGTTCAGAATAATATTTGCCCTATCAAATATGAAGCTTTATATTATTTAATCAAATTTTTTTAAATATCAATCGTAGCATTAAGTTTTTTTCAATCTCTTTTCGATTTTTGACTATTTCAATTCTTATTTTTGTTTTCTTTCGTATTTCTCAAATTGTTTTAATTTCTTAATTTGAAAAAAATTAAGAACAATTTTCGCTATTTTTTTCAGAAATCCATAATGTTTACATATATTAAAAGTAATGGTTTATTCGAAAATTTCTCAAGCAACTAGATATTCTCACATATAAATGTTCTTTATAAAACTTAATAATTGGCAATGTGAAATTATTATCAAACGACAACTTATTTATTCAAATAAACAGCAATGATACAGAAAACGATTCAAATTAAATTACAATTCTTTTTTTTTCATAGATATGTATCTCTTTTAATGACACTATTAAGTATAAAATACGTCCTATATTTTATTCCTTATAATTCATACATTATATTATACATAAGTAAGTTTTGTAATTTCTTTTCTTTGTTTTTTATAAGGCCGGAACATTGTTATAATAAATTTCAAATATCGTTTCTTTAAGAATTGTCGTAATCTAATTTATAAAACGCTAGGTACAAATGCTTTTAATAGTACTGTTATGGCTTATTATGAAATTTAGTTTTGAAATAATAGTAAATACTTCTTAGATAGTTTTCAATCTCTTATACTTATCTCTAAAGTATAAACACTTCATATTTTATCCGCTTACTCAAGTTTAAAATAACAGCTCTGGTTCGGCATTAAAATGATTTAACGACCAGAGAAAAAAAATGAAAAAAATAGTGTCGAAAAATGTAATAAAAATTTCTTAATTTTTATTTGACCATTATAATGTTGTTTGTAAGGAATTGTTTTGATAATGTTAAGTCTCTTTATTCTTTGATTATAATAATGCAGTAAAGATACCTATAGTATTAAT